CGGTTTACCGTAAGATGGAGGAAGTGTGGATGCCCACCTGGGTGTGCAGAGATATGCAGCTGTCGGATGTCTGGGGAATTGTGAGCGACACCAAGGTGGACAAGTGGGCCGCGGGGGTGCAGGGCTCCCTCTTGGGGGGTTACGACTTTGACTGGGCGGACCTCCTCACGCATGGCACATCTGGGTTGAGGCTTGCCAACATGGATTACCTACAGCAGAACTACCCGGAGTTCCTCAATCCCTCGTCCCGCAAGCACAAACTGTACAATGCAGACACCGACACCAGTGCTGCCATCGAGGATTGCATCGATGACACCAACAGCGATCACTCCAGCAATGGGTTCAAGGACTACGTCAAGGACCTGGCAAGGGTGGATGCACACTTCCGCGATCATCTGATGCCCATGGCGAGGACGGTTCACTCCTCGTCCACCGAGGCGTTCTGCTCAAGGTTCGTGCTGGAGCTGGCACGGCTGGAGGCCCTGCTGCACGTAGACGCCATCTATCAATCCACCACACCGAACCCAGAGATAGGGTCACAGAGGACAACGGTGGATCTCTGGAGGCTGCGATGTGTCACACAGGTGCGGCTTGTCTCGCTCTGCAATCTGCATGGGATCTACGACATTGTGCCATCTGGCGGCCTCTCCGCCACCTTTGACAGCTCCAAGTGCCCCTATTCTCATTCTGTGAGCTGCACCAATGCCTACGCAACCTCGGACTGCCTTGTGTACTGCGACGGGGTCTTCCACGACCCGTGCCTCTGTGCAAGCCTGCAGGGTGTGGCATGCAAGGGATACACCTGGTCCGACACCACCGGCACCTGCAAGCTCCCCATCGATCCGCGCACCCTCGACGACGACGACATGCGCCTGTCCACCATGACCGTGCCAACGGTGGTTCCGAGCGAGGAACTGCAGAACACAGGTCTATCCGCTGCGGACATGCAGACCCTCGCATCCAGCATCAACACCTACGAGCAGCAGTATATCGACACCTTCCAGATGACTCTCAACGACAGGCGCAACCTGCAGACGGTGTCGATCCTCGGTGGAAGGCTCGGGGAGGGCCTCCTAGCAGGGACGACGCTGGGGAGCAACGAGCACGCCGATGCCCTCCTCGACTACTGGCCAAGCCACTGGATCCACCCGACGGGTTACCATGTCACCACCGGCTGCCGGCACACGGAGACGGCATACAGGGCATTCGACACCTGGATGTCCGTCGATTACGACACTGCCACCGACGAGCGCTACCTTGTGCTCGACACGCGGAGACTGCAGAACGAGACGCTGCTTCGCAATTACTTTGGTGCCGCCTCCACCTGCAGCTCGGCATCCTACGGCATGCCCATGTGGGAGACCAACAACGTGAGGCTCCAAAGCCGATGGGCCAGCGGGCAGAGGATGGATCCCACACAGCCCATCAAGGCGGACACCGCCCCCTCTGGCACCTTTGTGCAGTCCACGGCTGCAACGAGCTGGAGCGATGTCCCAAGCAACGGCCGGCAGTCGGACCAATCCTTCCCATCGTCGGGCATGCTATACCGCTGGTGGCCAGGCATGCTCCCAGCGGTATCCTGGCCCCAGTCGAGCACCGACCTGCAGCGCTACCGCCTCCCCAATCACACGGCGGTGGGATGGAACGGGGACTGCGGCCAGACCGACTTCTTTACCTGCACCGCGGACGGGGACTGCGTCTCACTCTATGGGGAGGGTTTCAAGTGCCTGAGGGCATGGTCGGACGCGGAGGGGAAGGAGATGGACGGGGTGTGCGTAGTGCAGAATGCATTGGCAATGGAATGCTACCAGAACTATCACTGCGGTGCTTCCGGAAGGGTCTGCACCGGCATGGGAACCTGTGTGGATCCGCACGTCATGCTGCGGAACTACGCCCCGTGGCCCGTGGAGATGCATGTCAATTCGGAGGCATGCGGCACGGAGACCCTCGGTCATTCACCCTGGCAGAACTCGCAGGACTTCCTCTCCCGGCACGGGCTCTGCGGCTTCCGCTCCTGGTTCGAGTACGAGCAGCTGATCGCCCGCTCCGGGGTTGCGGGTGCTGCAACAGCGACACTGGCAAATATCCCCGATGACATCCAATGGCCCAGCACAGACCCATACCTCACCGACGCGCAGATACGGCTCGACATGTTCGACCGCGGGATCCTGAAGATGGAGCCTCACACCTGCGATATGGACTACCAGTTCCAGTTCCCATCCTGTGTCGGCAATCCATCCACCACCGTTGACAGCGTCGGGATCCCCTTGCCGGTGGAGGCACAGGGGGAGACTACCAGGACCTGGGTCTCGTCGGGTGACAACAAGTGGTCCCTGCAGCTCTGCAAGCTCGGCAGCCTGGAGAGGAAGAGGACGGGATTCCTGGCCCCTTACCAGGGGTACAACCGTGAGGACTCCTTTGGGAACATATCCCTCTCCCTCTCCATGTGCTCCGAACTGCAGATCTGCTTCTTGCAGGACTTCTATGTCATGGGATACAAGATGCAGGGCAGGTTGATCAACAGGCTCAACCTGCAGAACCTTGGCACGAGGAGGGACGCCTACACCCTGCAGGACGCGCTGTATTGCGGCAGTGCCGGATATCTTGTGGATCTGTCAACCTCCTCCACAACCCTCACGGATGGGGTCCCATGCCGTATGGACCCATTGACCAACCCCATCGCGCGCATGCTATGCGAGGACTACGACGTCCTCAAGGCCTCCTGTCAGTTCAATCCTTCGTACATCAACGAGCAGGCAGTAGGCACCCTCTGCCGCTACTACAAATACAGCTATGCATTGGCAGACCGGAACAAGGTGGCAAGCGCGTTGAACGACATCCTGCTCCGTGGTTTCAAGCGAGGTTTCAACACCTGGGAGGAGTACCAGCAGCAGGCAGTGTGCATCGCGAATGTGTACAATACGATGTCGCTCTACGCGCAGTCCGAATCAACCAACGAGGCAACACAGTGGTATGCATACGAGTTCGAGCCCGGGGTGCCCACCTACTTCTACCCCTACATGACGCTGTACTTTTATGATGACGCCTCACAGATGGAGATCCCGATGAAGTGGTGGGCGCAGTGCGTCATTCTAGACGGCGACGTGAACATCGACGGCATGATCGCCGGCAACATCGATCAAGTGCCCTGTGCGGGCTGGAAGAACTCACACACCGCGGGCTATCAACCATCGACGGTGAGGCAATTCCTGATGATGGCCAATGCGCTGTACCTGCAATCATCGAGGCGGGCGGTGGTGAACCAAGACCAGATTGCCCTCAGCATCTACGACACGCTGTACTCGAAGCTGCTCCAAGCGCAGGCCGACGTCACGGCAGCGATGGGCTATTCCTCGCACCCTGAGTACATCAACCTGACTTACGTGCAGCTGCGCAAGCTCCAGAGCCGTTACAACCACGATTGGGCGTACAACCAATACACCACCTCGAGCGATGTCATCTCCGACAGCACCAAGATCACCAACACGGACCCTGTCTATCAGGACGACGGCGGGCTCCCAGCCGACGACGGAATCCCAGCGCTGCTCACCCAGGTCCTGCACTTCATCCTCAGCGGTGACATCAACCTGGGATACGCCGCTGCCAACTCGGGGGTGAACCGCACGGCGAGGGCAAACCTGGCATTCCAGAGGGCGGATTTCGCGGCAGACTTCCTCTCGCGAGACAAGCAGTACTTCGATGCCACCAGCGGCATCCTGCAGTACAACTTCCCGAATATCTTCCGGCGATTCCTAGACTCGGAGCTCGACTCGATCCTGTCCTCCGTGCTGCGTGAAGATGAGCCGCTGGAGGATTTTACCTACGGAGACGTGCAATACAACGGTGCACTGTTTCGAAAGTATCAGAGCCTCATACGGGACAACACGCTGCAAACCACCGCATGTCTGTACAGCAACTTCCCCAATTACGAGCCTGGGATCACCAAGAACCTAGATCAAGATCCCGAGGTGCGACTCTGTGACTCTGCGCAGAACTGCCGTTCCATCAATGTCTGCAATCCAACCCCATCCTACGACCAACGCACGGGGCAGTCCTGCGATTTGCTTCATGCTTCGCAGGATGACAGGTGCACCAACACGTACCTTAACGCCCCAGGGGTGAACGGTGGGAATAACATCTCCATGCAGACGCATTGCAAGCAGTTCCTCTTTGTGCGGGACATACAAAGCGCCGTCAACCCTTCGCTGACCTCGGTGCAGTTCACAACCATTGATCTCGACGTCACCAACCCAGCTGGCGACATCTGCTTGCGCACCGACTCCACCTGCCTGCGGGACAGCCAGTCGCTCGGCGGGTTCTCCACCCCCGTCGACCTTGTGCAGTCCGTCAGGGGTGTTGACATCTACGTGTTCTACCGCGACGGGACGGCGGGGAGCCGCGATCCCAATGCGGACGAGTTCTACTCTGCGGAATACCCCAGGACGAGCACGAGATGGTACCCTGCCTGGGTCGACTGCTTCAATGTCACGGGGGTGAACAAGAGCCACCTGCTGTCATGGACGGGCTGGGATGCGGAGACGGTGGGATCGGTGCAGAGCACGCTGAACTCATGGTATGCCGGGACGGGGCAGCAGCCCAACTTCGCCGTCCTCTCCAACGAGGCAATCTGGAGCCGGTACGGGGCAAGGCCCACTGGGGTCTCTACACGCTGCAGCACCGATTCCTGCACTACGATCCTGGGATCGGTGAGCCCCTGCCCTGGCAAGGTCTGCAATGTTGCCCGCGACAACAGCCTCGTGCATGCCATTGCCCTGCATCTGCAGAATGCAACGGAGATCTTCTGTGCCAGCAGCGCGACGGACGCGCTCTCCAAGTGCCCGCTGAGGTCGGTGAATCAGAGCGTATTGGCAGAGATCATGGACAACCTCTGGATCTGCAAGAGTGACTGCGCCCGCGTGCCGTTGCTCAAGTATATCGGAAAACACCTCTACCGCTACAGGAGGATCGACGAATCCGTTCTTGGCTTCACAAGCTCTGACAGGAACTACATCGGCCTCACAGGGCAGAGCTCAGCGGCCAATGGGTATACACAGAAGGATGCATTCCGGCTCATGCACTTTCTTGTGTCAAGGCAGATCACGTCTGGCAACGGCCTTCTCCCTTCCGACCTGTACAACCAGCTGTGGATAACGCCGGATTTCCTCAGCCTTGCATTCATGGACACCAACGACAAGTATCCAGACACAACGCTGAACCTCTACGAGCTGAACAGCTACAGGGCACAGGCCGAGACTATGCGTCTCCAACCCCTCGACAAGTGCATCAACCAGATTGTCAAGACCACCGAATGCACACCGGCGTCACACAGGGAGAGCCTCAAGTCGTGCCTTGCGCAGTACAAGCGGAAGTCTGCAAGCGTCGCTGACCTCGAGCAATCCGTGCTAACCAAGCTCACGGCTGCACAGGTGACCTCGATGCACAGCCTGCACTGGGCCAAGGCTGCGAGGCCGTCGCGAGATCAATACCTCGATTGGGTGCTGAGCGATATGCGCTGCGAGGAGACGCTGCAGTCCGAAGCCGTTTGCTACAGGACCTTCGACGGCTACGTGCTCTCGCTCAACCCATGGCTGGGCGGGGGCTTCAACATCAGGGATGCCTGCGACACGGTGGTGCTCCCCAATGAGTTCAGCACCGTCATCAGCGGGGGTTGCAAGACCGGGATCTCCGCCTGCACGGAGTACAACTCCCTGGTCTATGCCCAGTGCATCACAAAGAACAACCAGCCCCCATCCCGCATCGACATCCTGAGCACTGCAGGCAACAACCTCTGCAACCGCGGGATTCGCGTCAACACAACCTGCCTGCACGAGCAGGGGAGCTTTGGCGGCGGGTCCGGGACGACGATGGAGGATCTCTATACACGCCCGGCCACCTCCATGCCTTACTCGGGCATCTTTGGCTCGAATCCAAACCCCGCGTTCCAGGCCCGCTCGCCACAGTTTGGCATCCTGAGGCAGTCGCAGATGGACATCGGGGGGTCGCTCCTCGTCGCCGACCTCGCCCCGCTGCCCGACGGCGTCACGCACAACCTGCTGCCGAAATGCCTGCCCCTTGCCTATGCAACCAATGCGGATACCTCCCCGAGCACCCCAGGGATCGACCCATGCGCATCCAACAACCTCGATTGGCTCAAGACCTACGCCATCGATTCCCGCTCGGATTACGATCTGAATGCGGCCGAGCTTGGCAGCGCATCGCAGAACGGGGCGGTGTCCTGGGACTGCCCTGTGAGGGAGATGCACTACTGGGGAGGATCATCGCAGTCCTTCCGTCCCAAGGCACCCTACGGGCCCCGTGCAGCGACGATGTTCTCGGAGACCAACCAGATGGGCGGCACGGTAGGGAACGGGATGTCCAACCCCATGCAGCCCTTTGGAACCACGATCCCAGACCTCGCAGACCCATTCTTCGTGAGCGAGATCTGCAGCTGCTCCTCGAAGTCCGACTGCTCCTTCCTCACCACCGACACGGCGAGCAGCTGTGGGCTGTACCAGACGGTCGATCTCCTCACCGGGAACCAATGGAAGACCAAGCAGAGCTACGCGGGAACTCAGGGATGCAAGCGGAGCCTTGACTGGCCCAACACCAAGGGCGTCCTCCGCGACGGTACCGACCTAGGGAGTGCGGCACAGAACACAGACTGCCCCGTCCACGATCGTCTCAGGGAGTTCCAGCTCAGGTATCTCCCTGTGAGCATCACGGCGGATGCCGGCATCACCACCCTGGACGCGGGAGGGGAATGCCACACAGGGCGCCTCGTCCGCGTCCCAAGCACCGTTCCCATCGGGGGGAGATGCCACCGGTACAACTTCTCACACCTCGAGTGCAGCATCACAACCCTCATCGCAGGGAAGCCAGTGACGGACACCTCCTTTCACGCCCTCGACGTCCCATCCCCAACGGACTTTGTCACGCAATTCCAGGCCAATCATAGGAGGACATTCCAGGAGTGCCAGCCCTCCCCACAGCTCAGATCCTACGTCGACAGAACCGACAACGCCAGGAACCCCGTATCCAGCAGCATGAGACAATTCACAAGCTTTGGGGTTCCCGTGAGGCTCTCCCTCTCCCGCACGATGGCACAGGACCTCCGAAGGCAGATCTGTGGCAATTCCATCGATTGCCCGTTGCTCGACAATGCCATCGACCCGAGCAAGTGGACCGTCGACAGCTTCCTGCAGGCCTACCTGCAGGATTTCACCTCCCTCTTCCAGATACAAAGCAGCGCCTCCATCTCCACCCCGGCGCCGCCCAATCCCGTGAATGACAGCAAGTTCTGGGACAGGGAATGGGTCTTCTGCTCTGACAGCGACCGGTACTCCAAACCCTACTCCAACAGGAAGTGCTACGGATCCATCCCGAAAGAGACCTGGCTTGACCCTAAGCAGCGCTTCGGTGCGTGCCGCGATGCCATGTCGGCGGCCCCAACCACCAGCACGATGATCCCCATACGCATATGGACGCTCGACTCTACGATGAACAACCTCTCAACGCACGTCGCCAGCCTCCTGCAGAGGATACAGGCTGCCAACTGCAAGGCCGCGGGGGTGTGCGTCGAATCACGCTTCCTCTACAACCCGTCGGCCTACAGCATATCCAACCAGGCCTTTGTGACGCAGACGGTGCTGGACTTCTACCAGTCGGTGAGCAGCGAGGCGTGCTCCTCGGTGTACACCACGCAGGAGATCCAGGCGGTGATCGCACAGAACAACAACATGAAGAAGCAGTGCGCGGCAGAGTTCCTTGTCCCTATCTACAAGCTGTTTGGGGACCTGAGGCAGATCGTTCAGACCATTGTCAAGCTCGTCTTCTACGCAGGGATGATGGGGTTCAACTTCATGCAGCTGCTGCTAGGCATCAACTCCGATCAGGTCATGCCACAGGTGATGCATTGGTTCAACATGTTCATCAACGAGGCAAGGGTGCTGTTTGAGCAGATCGGGAACATGGTGTTTGAGCTCATACGCTCCGCTCCCTTTGGGGATCAGCTCATGAAGATCATCAAGATCATCTGCACCATCATCAACTGGTTCCTGAACAATTTTTTCTTCCCTGTCATATGCCCCATCCTGCACTTTGTAGGTGACGTGTGTACGGGCATCGGGAATGCCCTGAAGACAATCCATGACATCAGCATCATCGGGATCAAGCCCTTCACCTGGATCGTCTACCAGATATACCTGGATGTAGGCAACAAGCTCAAGTCGATCGATTGCAATGCCAGGAATGTCCTCAAGTGTGACATTGGGAATGCCTTCCCACCTCAGGCGGAGGATGGGACCCTGCCGACGCCCACCCGCTGCTGGGCCAGCTACATCACCAGCGTGAGCGACGGGGCCCGCCTCTCCTGCTCCGCCTCGGACACCTGCCTTCGCGCCACGGCCTCGAGCGGGTCGGACACGATGGTGTGCGACGCATGCCCCTACGGCGGATCCACCAGCACGGTGGCAAGGTACGGGTGCGATCCCATACGGAAACAGTGCATGTGCAACGTGATGCAGACCTACGAGACGCCGTGCATGACGCACGAGCAGTGTGTCAACCAGATCGATGCCACCTGCGTCTTCATGAACAGCGACATACAGCCGACCTTTGGAAACATCCCGTGCGCACAGTGCACAACGCAGCCGATGTGCATCCTGCAACCCGGAAAGACCTACGGCTCTTGCTCCTGCTTCCTCACGCGGGTGGACCCACAGGGCTGCTCCATCAGCGATGTCACCAAGGCGGTGGCACCGAAGCTCTCCGGCCTCTGCCTTGCGCAGGTGACCACCTCCATGGGTGGGTTCTCGGCATCCTCCAGCGCGACCTACACGATAAGCTACAACAACCTCCTCGCCACACCTTGCTACAACAGCAACTACGACCAGGTGTATTGCTACAGCGTGTTCAGCTCGTTCTTCAGCTTTGCACCGATGCTCGTCTCCATTGGCATCAGCGGCATGTCTGGCGCCGGCGCCTCGGGCCCTTACGGCCGCCGCCTCCTCGGTTTGGACTCCCCAGAGTTCTACAGCCACGACGCCACCTGCATGGACGCCTACGACGAATACCTCCTCTCCAACCGCACCACCCGCGTGTTTGTCTCTTGCATCACCAGGTTCGCTGCAACCTACGATGTTGCAAGGCGGCACGGCATCGAGGATCGCATCCCTCCCAACATGTTTGTGAGCCTCACCGACCTGATGGAGACCATAGGGAATGATCCCACCGCCCTCCTCCTCCTGCTGTACAATCCCACCCTCGTGCTGGAGCTTGGCATGCAGACCAGCATCTTCCAGCGCTTGCACCGCTACTACCACGTGTGGACGAGGGTGTTCCACGACCTCTACTACGAGATCGCAATCCACGGCACGAAGAGGAACAACAGCCTTCATTATCGCATAGATATCGACGGCGGGATGTATATCCACGGTGACAACATCAGCGAGACCACGCTCCTCCTCCTCAACATCCTCCACAGCCTCTCCTCCCACTTCAACCGCTCGGGGGTAGACGGCCCGCTGGCGATCCAGAACCAGCTCGCGATGAAGCACATCCTCAGCATCGCCGCCGATGGGCCTTTTGCCATGCACCTGCTCGAGAACATCACCAACGCATCCATCGGCAGGCACCTGCTGCAGACCTCATGGCAGACACAGAGGAGCGAGGTGAAGCGGTTCACCGCCTCCACCTCCCTGAATGACGGCATTGTCGAGCCAGTTGGGGCGGCGACCAGCAATGCCTGGGTGGACAGCCCCTTTGCATGGCCCGTGAATTACGACATCCCGCAGACCCTCGGGTCCTGTGCGCTCCTGTCCAACACACTGACTCTGACGAGGAACGCCTTTGGCAACGTTACACTGTTCTACACCCAGGGCTCCCTCCTCGCCGCCAGCCCCCGCAAGGTGGTTTCAGGCAGCTGGCCCCTAAGCGGCCTGCCGCAGACCAAGACTGTGCCACCGCTGCAGAGGCCCGTCAACGGGGATTGGATCTCGACAATGGTCTTCACTGTCGTGTCCGCACTGGAGCACACGCCGTTCAATCGGCAGTTCTTCTACAATGCGCTCATGGCATCGCCTGGATTCCTGCAAGACTTTCTCCGGTGCGACCGGTCGGCCGTGATGCTGTGCTCCAAGCACAAGTACACACTGCTGGTCTCCGGCATCGTCGTAGGGATACTGCTCGCGGGGACCACTGCGGTGATCACTGCCTTCCAGATCCCCTACGTGAGCACATTCCTCTGGGGCACGTACCCAGTCATCACCAGCTACTACGCCTTTGGTGTCTCCCCCTTCTGCGCACCGATGATCCCGACGTGCTTCATTCAGGACTTTGTGGATATTGCCAACGTGTTCTTCCCCTCGTCCTTCCGCTTCCCCGACAGCCTACAGACCTCACCTGGGTGCCTCAACGACCCGGCGGTGGTCAATAGGGAGGCATGCATCATCCCCTGCAGCGACGCGCCGTTTGAATTCAATACGTGGGAATCCGAGATCGCATGGTGGACTTGCTTCATCTCTACCGACCTCTGCAGGTCTCTGGGGGCGTCCATCGCTGGATTCCCGGCCGCGGTTCAGTTCACCTCGCTCAACCGGCACATATCTGTCAAGGCAGCCATCATCGATGCATACCAAGAAGACATGATCAACGCACAATTGGTTTGCGGCACGCTGAATATCTGGCGGGTCATACCAATCTACATCATCATATTCTTCCTCCTCTACGTCATAGGCCTCCTCGTGAGCTTCCCGGTATTCCTCCTGAGGGAGGTACTGAAGCTCATCATCGCGACAGTCATAATGACACATATAGATTAAAACTAGATATTAGAATTAGTCAACCACAGGGGAGGGGCCTTTAAAAGGGGACCGCACGTGGGGGGCTTCCATCGAATGTCCGAATCCTTCCCCCTCCCACGCATACGCCACACGGAGCTCCACAACACCAAGAAGACATACACCATACTGCTCGAGGTTGTCCGCCACAGCAGGCAGATGCGGGATCTCAGAGGCATCCGCTTCTTCTATCTCGGGGAGGGTGTCTCTGGCAAGTGCTTCCTTGCCAAGCAGGAGGGGCATGCCTTGGTGATCAAGCTCTTTTCAAGTCCAACGCTCTTCATGGAAGAGACCCAGATCAACCGATACCTTCTCGATCAACTCTCTGACTACAGAGAGAGGGACCATATCGGCACCTGGTCGGGATTTGGGATGTTGAAGAAGGAATACAACCGAATCATGTACGCCATCCTCCCCTACCTCGGGGTGCCGACACCGCGTTTCATCTCATTCTATCAACCACACATGCGGGAGAAGCTAGTAGAGAGCTTCCAGAGGATCTGCCGCCAACTGGCCCGCCTGCACTCCCTCTCGGTCTATCACACCGACATCCGAAACCACAACATCGTCATCAACGAGGATGGCTCTGCTTATCTCATCGACTGGGGGAATGCTTTCATCCCAAAGCTCCACCCCAAGGCTTACAACAAGGACGGGACAATATCCCACCTGCCCAATCCGACCCTTTGCCCCGAATCCATCAAGCTCAAGATATCCTGCATGACCAAGAACACCATGGATTATCCGATCGTGTGCAGGGCCAATGCCTTCACCTACCACGACCTGGAGGCCACGGACTTCTACGCACTGACGATGGTGTTTGTCAAGATCTGCAAGGCATGCATCCAGAACGATATACACCTGCGGGATGCCATCGGCGGGTTCCTGCAATGCATCTACGAGAATTGCAACAACAACCAGGACATATTGAGACCATTCATACTGGAGGCGATCATGGAGCACTTCGACGCACACCAGTGCATGGAATTCTTCAAGGCATGGAGTATATTGAACTCGAATTGAATAAATCTACGCGTAAAACTCTGGGTTCGAGCTGTAATAGCACGCAAGCTGCAGTGCGATGCAAACGTCATCCTTCATGCCTCCCACCTTTCCACTGAGCGCCATCTGATCCTTGTTGAACACACTGGCCGCGCTCTTGAACTGGTAGGAGTAGATCTCCAGCTGCTCGCGAAGCCGACGCTTCATGCCCCTCGGATCGCGGCTCACGAAATTCTCCCAGAGATGCACCCTCCCCTCCCTCAGCAGTGAGTTCAGCATCGTGCACATCGCATGCTTGATCTCATGCGTGGTGAGGACGCCGTAGCGCTGGGCCTTGTGGTCAACCCTGAATCTCACATTCTTCATGCCGTTGAAATGGCGCTGGTGATACTCCGCCTCGAACCCAAGGTTCCGCTCCACCATGACAATGATCTCGGATACTACAAAGGCCGTGTTGCAATCCCTCAGGCGCTGCATGTGCTCGGCGAGGAGATCGAACTGCTTGTCTGGCTCTGCAGTGCAAGAGGTTAAAAAATGCATCAAAAGGAAGCGTTCACCCTTGCATCCGGAGAGGACGTCCATCCCGACAATCTGCAACGGCAAGAATGTCAGTGCCACAGAGAGACATCCTCTTCCACATCCTCTACAACAACGACATGAAGACAACAATGAAGCTCTGCCGGGAATCTGCACAGAGGCTTGCCAACATATTGAAAGACCCGCTCCCCTCCAAATTGCTCGACATCGCCAGCAGGAACGAGCACATGGCGCGGTGTGTGCTGATCTTGCTGCTCAATGTTGACATGGGTCTCAAGGAGACATTCACAAAGCCCTACGTCATCGAGGAAGCCGAAGTCACCCTCCAACCCCTCTGCGGATACAAGGCCCCCGTGTTTTTCAAGGCGATCGACAGCACTGTGATCCCAAACTTCCTCCGAGACGAACTCAAGACCACCATCACCTTCGAGCAGGAGATCCAGGAGATGTATCAATGCTCATGAGCATGGCATCGCCTGGTATTTAAACTTGCAGACCCAGTTCAGTTAACCATGATATCGGGTCTGAAAGACTTCACGTCCTTTCTTGCGAGCACCATTGACGATGCAGAACGTGACATTTGCAAGGTTGTGCTCCACCTGGAGTACAACAGGGAGAGAATCTGCAATGCTGACCTTCAGCCACTGATTCTAGACACTAAGGTGGTCCTGTTGATCGTCGCTTCCTGTACCAGCTTCAACATCCCCGAGAAGACCATGATCTGGGAAACGATGATCAAACACCAGGGCACATGGCAAGAGTTGGTGCTCGAACTGAAGAAGCACGAGGATGATGCCCAGTGCTCGGAACTCTGCAAGGACCTCGACGAAATCCTTCTCTATCTCGATATGTATCGACATGGAGTTGACCTGAAGCCTGAGGTTTTCCAGACTATCTCGGAGCTGAACACCTTCACGATGCCGTCAAACGGCAAGGTCCCCGTGTGCATCATCAATGCCCTGCACCTCATGCAACAACAGCATAGGTACATGCCTGAGCACATGGTCCAGGATCCGACGTACGGTGATTTCATCAAGCTCCTCGCACTGGCCAACAACATCCCCGTGCGCAAGAGCACAATGAGCAAGGTCCAAGATGCTGCCTGGATGGTTGTCACCTTCGTTGTGAAGCACTGTATCGGATTCACGATATATGTGTTTGAAAAGTACACCCTCAGACACATCCTTTGGTAACCCTGCGGAATCGCGCAAAGGAAATCCCACTGGTGTTTGCAAGAATAAAACACGCACACATCCCTGCACTTACCGTGATCAACCCCTTGTGCCTCACGATGCTCACCACCGCGTAGTCACTCTGCGGGCCACCCGCCGCTGGGTCCACCACAAGGTAGATGTTCTGGTTGCTGACAAACGGGGGCGCCTGCTGCGACAGCATGGCCTCGATGTCCTTCACCCTGAACGCCTGCTGCAAAGAATCGAACGCCAGCCCCGCCAGCTCCGACTGGATGAGGTCGGGCCTGTCTTGCATCACCACCTTCAGCCTCCTGTGCCTCTCCCCGCTCTGCCACTGCGGAACGAGATGCAGCATGTGCACACACTCATGGCTCTTCCCGTCCTCCTTGCACTGCTGGCAGGCGAGCTCGATGCACTTGACGGCAAAGAGCGGGCGGCCAGTGTCGGGATCGCGCATCTTGATCAGCCTCGTGTAGAAATTGATTTCGGAGGTGAGCGTGGAGATGCAGAGCAGGGAGGTGCTGCCAATCGATAGGATTGGCGCGACGGTCTCATAGAAGAAGGTCGAATCGCAGTAGGCTGCCTCCTCCAAGATCAGGCAATCCCCGCCCGTGCCCTTGGTTGTGCCAATCTGCAAAACAGACAGTGTCAGAGCCAACGCGCACACCAGCCGTCCACTTCCACCCTTATATCACTCGGCGCTGCATCGTATTTAATACCGCGTAGCAACACACAAGCACTACAGAATCATGTCTGAACCTATCAATATGAGGCAGACACTGGAAGATATCGCCAGCAAGCTCGACATTGTGTCGAGGCATGGTGATCAGGACGAGTTGATCAACGCTGGTATCACGGCAAGGAACCTGAGGAATGCAAAGAAGTTGAGCGACAAGCTACAGCATGCACCCAACACCAAGGAGCTCATCGATTCGTGCCATTCGCAGTGCAGGAATCTGATCTCCGCGCTCTCCGACAGGGAGAATAAGCAAAACGTGCGTGCGATCCACCAGAATCTCATGCGAATCGCATCCCCAGGAAAGCAGAAGAAGACGAAGCACTGAGCGATACACCGTTGATACAAGATGCATTAAACTTGTAATCGACCCCATCCCCCCTCTGACCCCCCCCTCTTGGGGTCTATATAAGCCCTCCCTCCCCCTCCCCCTCCCCCAACCCACCAGACCATGGACTCTAAGCCCATGCTTTTTCACAACAACCTCCGCAGGCTTGCCCGCACCCTGGTGCATGCCAGGCACCCCACCAACTCGCAGACTGCAGAGTTTGTCGAGGAGCTCGAGCGTCTCACCAAGACGACCTACGAGGGTGTCACCGGGCTGTCCAGTGAGGACCGTCGCAGGTGCATTGACATTGCGACAGAGAACATGTGGCTGCTGCGCTACCTCGAGCTCTACACGCAGACCAACGCGGCGCGCTTCAAGCGCTCGACGCACGACTACGTCGGGCGCTTGCTCAACCTCTCCTTGGACGTTGTCTTCTAGATTGCACTGAGCCCTAAACATGCAATAAAGAATCTTAACCTATAAAAGCCTTGTCTTTGCAACGCTCACAAATGCATCCCGCCGATGCAATAAACCACGCGTCAAACCTGAGCCTCGACTACGATGGCATCCGCATCGTGTATCCCAACACCACCTTTGGGCCAGGGCTCGGTGAGGATCTCGAGGCAGAGGCGGAAGCACTGCTCGATGAGATCTCCGCAATGCCGATCCTCGAGATGGTGGAGAGCGCAGAGCCAGATCACGAAGAGCTCAGCGAGCACGTCGAGGAATGCCTAGACACGGAATTCCCGCAGCTCGACGCAGTCTACGATGCATCCATCGAGAAGGACATCCAGATGCTTTGGCAGAACGTTAAGGGGGTTGCGCTCCTCACGGACCGCCCGTTCCGGATCAGGGCTAGCAGGAAGACATTCGAAGACGTCGACTCCGAGGAGGAATTTAACGAGCCCGACAGCAAGAAGCGGATGGGGCCCGAACCGGAGAACCCACCGGAGGATATCGTCTATGCTAACGAGGATGAGGAATTCAAGCAGAGGATGCAAAAACGCATCGACAACCTGAAGCGCAAGCAAAAGCTCTACTGGAACAACGACGTGAACGACCAGGCCTACTATCTGGCCTTGCAGATCATAGCGGCCCAGAAGGCCACCAGGGGGTATCTGCAACAACTGCGCAAGGCGCGACGTGAAAATCCGGCTATAGTCGATATGATGAAGCAGCTGCTCGATGTAGAGATCCAAAACCTGCGATCGCTCCGCAAGAAGCAAGAGGATCTCATGCAGATCTCGAGTGTGAAGGAGCAGAACATGCTCATCAAGAAGATCCGTTTCTACGAGAACCTCTTGCGATCTGCCACCCAGCGTGTGGACATCCCGGATTTCCTCAGCCTGCAGAAAATGGAGGAGCAGAGCAAGATGGCCTTCTTCGGCGTCACACTGCCGCCCAAGGTTCAGGGCCTTCAACCCTCCGAGATCACCAGCAAGCGGTACGATCTCATCCCGAACAAGCAGGAATTCCCAGAGGGTCCAGATGGCATCCTGCAGTTCTTGGAGTCCAAGAAGCCAAAACCCATCGAGAACGAGTGGCTGCCATCCGGCATCTACACCCTCATCCACCTCGAAACGCTGCGGATGGAGTTGAACGAACAACCGGACGAAGACCCGTTCTGGGAAAAGGAGTTGCAGGACGCAGCGGAATTCCTCCGTAACGAGATCTCGCAGCATGACCTCGATACATACTGCTCCCATTACGGACAGGTGATGCGCAACATGCGGAATTCCATCTTCCGCGAGGTGAAACTCCTGCGCAACCACTACCTCCATCTGCACGAGAGCGCCCTTGTCCGATATCAACAGGCCAACCTCGACGGGACGAGCGATTTCTACAACGAGTGCTTCCAATACCTGATCAATTGCCAGAATCTCGGGGATACCGACAAGGCCAAACTGATCAAGACGATCACGAAGAAAAACCTGACGTTTTTCATGCAGAATTTCCAGGACACACGCTGGATGGCACTGATCGTGGGCGACAAGGAACTGTGGAACAACAGGGTGCGTAAAATCAAGCGCAACTCGAGCGAGATTGCATCCGAGAAGTGGGACCTCTTTGTGATGGCCAAGACCAAGGCCATCGAGGCCTGCATCTCCAAAATCACACAGGCACGGACGATCCTGCAGCTGCACACACTGCAGAACTACGATCGGACGCAGCTGACCACCCCGACCAAGGTGCAGGCCATCATGCTGAGGGGCATCATCGCCATACACAATGCCATGACACAGGCACCGGTGAGGATGAACATCCAGGAGCTCATGTCTGACGTCAACATAGCCAACCTCCCCTTCTTCGGGAGAAACCAAGGCATCATGCGGGCACTCCGTGGTTTCAGCCCCTTTGTCTTCATGCTCAAGCAAAACGACATCATAGAGAGCCTCATGCAAAACTTCAAGGGCATACCCCCGCCAACGATCCCAAGCGCCACGGCGAAGCTCAAGGACCGCGTGGAATGCCTCAAGAACCTCGATCGGTGGATGCGGCGCCTCATGCCGATCTACACCTTCTTCAACCTGCAGAACAACACCTACAAGGATATCAGCAAGTTATTCCCGGAGACCACAATGCAGGCCTCGAGCCGATTCGAGGCGTTCAAGCAGGCGGTGCTCGATCTACGGCAGCAGACGCTGGAGCGCTACAAATCCATCATGGACTCTAATTACATCTACCTGCGCAACATTCAGCCGGAGGCGGAGGAGCCGGCAGAGAGCATGCAAGAGGCCGAGGAGGTGCAACCGCCCGAGAGCGAATTCACCGAGCAATCCGAGTTCAGCCTGGGTGCAATCATCGGGATGCCAATCGTTCTGCAGAGAAGGAAGAAAAAGGTGAAGGTCGCACGCAAACCGGCATCGACAAGCAGGCGACACCAGAGAAACATGCAAAGGATCACTCTAGCACGATTCATGTCCTACTGCAAGGCATCCAGGTCGATGCTCAAGGATCTCTTTCAGACAGGTATCCTTGTCCTGACACACACCAAGATGAAGACACAGAGGCTGCAGACCTTCATCCCTTACTTCGGGGTGCAGCAAGCGGGCTGCACGCAGCTGATCATACAGAGCTTCACCTACGCCCTCTCCAACACGTCGGCAGGGCATCGCAAACTGCTCGAGACCCTCAATGATTACTTCAAGGCCAATCTCGATGCATTCAGCCACACCATGTATTACATCCTCCTGGCATTGAACAACATACCGAATGCATCGAACCTGCTCAAGAACAAGATATTCCAACTTCAGGAGCAGGTGCAATCCACGCTGGTGATTACGAACAGCCTGACAACAGAGATTGCCATGAATAACAAGCAAAAGAAGGACTTCCTGCTGAAACTCAACGCATCCCTGACAGAGTACCAGCGATGCACCAACACACTGAACCGCGTCCTGCACCAATTCTCGGTCGAGCAATCCAGCAACATCCACCTCCATCACTTCCAGACGGCTTGCATTCAGGTGTTCCTGAAACGCCTCATGTATCTGTCCCCCGAGATGAAGGTCGACGTCGACAACGAGTTGGAGATGCTGCATTCCATCATCTTCAATGTGGAGCACCTGCCCAAGTCCGCAGCGACACTCCATCAAGCGACCCTCGGTGTGCCTTTCACAGCAGATTCAACATCTGAGATAGAGCCCGAAGAGGCCGAGACAGCATCTGCGGCAGATGCCACCTCTGAGCAAGAGTCAGAAGAGGCCGAGACACAAGCTGCCACCAATGAAGAGGAGGACGATGGCGTCGATGTCAATATGGACCCACAAAAAATCGAAATAAAGAAGCATGACAATGCTGAAGGTTCCAATCCTGAACAGCTGCAGGAACAGAAGGCAGCACAATTCAATGGTTTCTTTGTAGTCCGGCCCAACAAACCGTTCTACCCCTTGCTGGACCAGGAGGATGCAAGTTTCGTCGGTGGCTCAGAAAAAGGGCTGTACATTGCACAAACCATACAGCAGACCTACAATGACCTAAAAACATTCATCCGAACTACAGTGCTGAACATAGTCCAACAGAACGTCATCCCCTTTATGCAGGCTGATCAACAGATGCTCCCAGCCTTGCAATACGTCCATGCTGAAGAGGTGCATCGTCAGATCCTTGACTTCATGAACATGCATGAACTAACAAGTGATTTGACCACACTCAGTCAGCGGATGAAAAGGTTCAATGCTTACCAGATAGTCATGAGGATGGGTATCGAACCTCCAAGAAGTAACTGGGTGGTTGGAGTTGTCAAGCTGTGGCACAGCATCTTACTCATGCTCCTGCGATTCGACGCAAAACTAAACGTAAAGTTCAACGAGATCCCCATTTTCACGGGTAGAGAGATGACATTGAGCAACATCAATCCGCAACTGAGCAAGCACGACGTCCTTGATCTGATCTTCGACCATTTCGCATACGATTGCTGGGTGCCAACAAACAGGCCAGCCCTAGGCAACCCACCCGTCTTTGCGCAGGCCGGAGCGCACAACAAAACCTACCTATTCTACAACATGCAACCCATACAATGGAATCAAGGCGAGGATTCATCCAGCATACAACTGATCTTCAATTATGCTGCAGATGCCAAGGTGTTCAGAGACACCATCATGCGGATGAGCGACAGGCATGCTGCGAAGTTATTCATCGACGGCAAGCCCGAGGTCTCGGAGGATGCAGACACCCTCGCGCTGCTGCCCGCCGCATACACAAAGGTATTCGTCAACAAGCTCGAGACCGCAACACACGAGCTTCTGAACGACTTTGCCAGCATCAACGAGAAGTACCTGATCGCATTCGGCATCAACAGGACGACGATCAACGAGCGCTTCAAAGCACGGCAGGATGCCTGCTACAGGCTTGGGAACTCTGTACAGTTTACGACGTTCACCATAAAGAACCGATTGCACAACATGCTGTTCCAAACGCCGAGTTTCAAGGAGAACCTGCGGGCTGAGCTCGATCACATCTGCGACATTGTCAAGACATTCACCATTGAAAATTTCGCACCGTTCGTCAACCGGATGCAAAAGCTAGAACAGATCCCTACGTTGTACGCCGAGCCCAAGCCCATGACTTGTCACACCTACGTCATGTACGAACGCATGAAAAACGGTTACATGCAGCACGTGCTGGACAAGCAGGACGATTTCAATGACGTGCATCGACTCTCCGCCCTGTGCCTATTGCAGGAGTCGCTGATCGAAAGGAGGAAGAACATGGAGAAGCTCTTCCCGATCAACCACACCAACTCCGAATTCACCTCCAATCTCGAGTTCGACACCAAGCAAGAGCTCTACGATCACCTCTCCCACGAGCTCAAGAAACACCTCGAGGTATTCGTAGAGCAGAACAACGTGGTGGAATCAAGGTACGATGCATATGCTTGTGCTCTCCCACGGCTTGATGCATTCTCACAGGTAAACCAATACCCCACTCCCATGCAACGATACAACGACACACAATACAGCCCACACGTGGGGCAGGCGATCTTCGACCAGGGATCGCAAACCGGCCTGCCGTTCAACAGGTTCATGTCCAACAGCGACCCAGAGAGGCCGTACCAGGCACGCGAGGACATCCAGAAGATCTCGGTCGTGCACTGGGGGCAGCGCAAGCTGTTCGTCGCGGAGATGTCGTTCCTCTCGGCACACTACACCCCATCCATCACGACCGTGGTGTACGCCGGTGCCGCGCCAGGGACACACTTGGTCGAGCTCATGCTGAAATTCCAGAAGCTCTCATGGGTGCTCGTCGACCCCGAGCCCTTCCATCACAAATTGCGCGATTTCTACTCGTCGAGCGTGACGCTCATCCAAGACCGCTTCACCGACGCGTTCGCGGCCCAATTCGCAGGGAGGAACGACGTCCTGTTCATCTCGGACATCCGCACTGCCGATCACAACCGCGACAACAAGGAGGAGAACGAGCGGAAGATTGCACAGGACATGCAGAACCAGAAGCGATGGTTCCGGATCATGAATCCAGTGGCCGCACTCTTGAAGTTCAGGCTCCCCTGGGACAATAGGATGACAACCTACCCCATGGGAAAGATCCAGTATCCCGTCTGGGGGCGCGTGTCCACGACGGAGACACAGCTTATCGTGCTTCAAAACGCTCCCGACACGGTGTACGACAACAAGAGGTACGAGAGCAAGATGTTTTATCATAACACGATCGCGAGGGTGGGGAGATACCTGGAGGGTATCGAGGATACAGGCATCCAGTTTGATTTCTGCTATGATTGCACGGCAGAGATCCAGGAATGGAAGAACTACAACCAGTGGCAACTGGCCTATGAGTGGAGCCAGCACGTCCAAGCAAAGAAGATCAAACCGAAGAGCATGCAGCGCGAGTGGGAGAAGTTCCAGGCAGACTTCTGGAGACGGACCAGCATCCCGTCGCAGGCAGGCAAGCTCTCCGTCGCCCTGGGAGGGCAGAACACCGAGTTGATCAAGAAGCCGCCAGATGCAACGTCCTCCTCCGGTTCGACGTCGGCCGCATCCAACAATTCCAACATCACGGGAGAGATGCAAAACGCCTGCGTGGGATGCGGACAACTCCTCTTCACGCATATCGAATAAACGGTTTTATTCCTTATCCCCTACCACGACTACCGATTTCTTCACCGCTGTCCCCACTGCCTTTGCAACCTGCTTTTTCACCTTGCTCTGCTGCACCTTTTCTGGCACCATTGATTCCACCACGGGTGCGGAGACACTATCCTTGCAACAGCTCACCGACGGCAGCTCGAACCTCTTTTTGGGTGCTTCCATCGGCGCTTGCACCGACGGCAGTTTGAAGCGCTTTGCACTGCTCTCCAACATCACACCCTCGGCATTCTCCATGTCGTCATCCTCATAGGCCCAATCTAAAGGCATCGGACAGAAGTTTGCCTGCAGCAACGCACCGCGCATAAACACCTCGTCGTCTAGGAAGTAATGCATGGCATTCATCCCGAACATCATCTTGTAGTGCTGCTGTGTTGTCCCCACGTACCATACGGACTTGCTCTGTTGCAGTTTCTCGTACTCCACCGACGAGGGATCCATCGACAACTTCCTCAGGTCCACGCGGTATGGCATCACATCGGGGATTATCACAAAGAAGTCACGATCAATCTCTCCACCCACGATCATGCACGGTGTGAAATCCACCTTGATGATGCGCTTGTAGAAATGATTCAAAGTCGCGGTGAGCAGCGGAGTGTCGTTGGGCATTGGCATCATCCCCAGCCTGAAGCACAGCCGGTCTCCCGAATTCAGCTCGATGTGCCGCCAGTAATTGATGAGGTCCTTCGTGTGCCCCTCCACATTCATGCTCGTGACGTGATTCACCGCCAGCATCACAGGGCTCATCCCCACCTCGTGCATCCCGCCCTGTTTCTCCGACCCAGCACACACCCCAAAGGGGACCACGGCATTCAGGAAGATCGCCAACACATCCCTGATCTCTCGATCCTTGAAAACCTTGAAGTCGGAGTTCGAGACCGTCTGCCCAAGGATGTCCATGAGGAAATTCCTCCACTGTGCGTCACTCAGCGATGGGGTCCAATCATCGAGCCTCACCCGCCTCCAGACATGCTGCAGGCCAAAGAGGATGTAATTCAGCGTTGGCAAATTGATGAATGCAGTCAGGTGCGTGCCGCTGTCCTTCACACCCTCGGCAGCCTTCACGGTGACACCCAGCGTGTTCTGCACAGACCGCAGCCTCAGCGACCAGGCGATGTCACCGTAATCCACCGCGTGCGAGATGCGCACCATCCCCTTGCCGTCGCCAATCGGTGGCAGCATGATCTCGGGCACAATCTTCTGTATCCTGTACGGGACATTGAGGTAAGATGTCTGGGTGCTGAGCCTTGCGGAATCCCCATACACGTAAGGGGTGATGCCCCCCCAGCAACGCGTTGTTGTAGTTGATCCGCGCATCGGGAGTCCCATTGAGGCCATATGGCAGACCCTCCGTATTAAGGGGCGGCAATGGCCCGCTGTTCATCACCACCTCTGGCATACGCGGATTGCCTAGATTCCCGTAAAAGTCAGACATTCCTGCAATTCTCTAGGGTACACTGAAGGGCAGCTCTTTTATACACTCGTAACCGCATGTACCCTCATATTATCTACCATCTTTTGAGCATCGCCGGAATCATCCAAGATACGCCACAAGATGGCGAGTTTGCAGAAGACCGCATCATCCCATGGCACACAGCCTACGCGTGAGAACAAAAGGCATTTCTTGTATTTAAATCTGCACACATCTTCCTGACAAGGATGATTCGATTCCAATCTTGCACATACGACATCCAATGCGAGGGGAAAGACGTAGCCATTCTCACACTAAGAGATCCAACTGAATACTTCGTCTTGGCTCTTGAGACATCGACAGGCAATATGGAAAAGCACCTCAGTGGCTTGAAGCATTCAGAGAACATCCAACACCTTGCAAACAAGGGGTTCCGAACTGATTACGTCCAAGCTCTGAGAGACATGTCCCCTCAAGCATACCCCGCTTTTCGTCAAAAGCTGTTGGACCCAACATGGAAATTCGAGTATCACCAAGCCCTGTGCGCTCACAAAGATATCCTCAAAAAGGCCAAACGTTACAAGAAGGCCATGAAAGAAGGGAGGTACGTTGATTGCATGGACTTGTCACCGATGCATATGGACAGTCTCAACAAGACCAACAACTTCATTGAGAAGGTCATTGCTGAAACATTTTTTGTTTGATTGTACAATATAGCATTGGATGTGATAAACATCGTTAAAACAAAAAAAATTGTTCGCAAACGCTCGCTCACCTTGTCCCACCACCCCCCACACCACATTATGTCATGGGATTCCAACGAGGAGATCATCAGCTATCTGATCGCGGCGCAGATCTGCCCACCGCTCCCCATGGTGATGCTGCACGAGGCAACCGGGGAGAACAAGATCTGCAACTCCCACGACCTCCTCTTTGAGATGACAAGGCAGTGCTTCCAACACGCGGAGGCTCTCAGCGACGAGACGCGGAACCGCATGACGGCACAGAAGATGCAACTCTACGACGGCCTCGTCGCAGCCCTCTGCAATATCGACACAGGGATGCCAAGAGATGCCGACCCCGCATCCTGGAGCATGCAATCGCGGCAGACCGTCTACAACCTTTTATTTTAAAAAAGTCTTGTCTCGGTCACGTGATGTGTCACGTGACCGGTCAGGTGAGCCTGTCAGCCGGGTCACGGCCCCTGTCAGCCGGCTGACATGTCACGGGCCTGCTGACACGGTCCGCTGACCGGTCACGGCCGCCCGGAGAGATCAGGCCCCCGGCCAATCTCCGGACACTTAGCCTCCTGGCGGGCCTCCAGGGGGTCTGAGGCGGGGCTGAAGGCTGCAGTCGGTCTACTGACGGGCCCGGCCGGCAGGATCCGTCGAGAAACAGGGGGGTCAAGGGAGGTTTTCTTCCCCCTGGGAGAAATGTCCTATGGGTTTTTGGATCTGCGATATAAAAAAGTCTTGTCTCGGTCACGTGATGTGTCACGTGACCGGTCAGGTGAGCCTGTCAGCCGGGTCACGGACCCTGTCAGCCGGCTGACATGTCACGGGCCTGCTGACACGGTCCGCTGACCGGTCACGGCCGCCCGGAGAGATCAGGCCCCCGGCCAATCTCCGGACACTTAGCCTCCTGGCGGGCCTCCAGGGGGTCTGAGGCGGGGCTGAAGGCTGCAGTCGGTCTACTGACGGGCCCGGCCGGCAGGATCCGTCGAGAAACAGGGGGGGTCAAGGGAGGTTTTCTTCCCCTGGGAGAAATGTCCTATGGGTTTTTTGGATCTGCCATATAAAAAAAGTCTTTGTCTCGGTCACCTGATGTGTCACGTGACCGGTTAAGTTGATCCTGTTAGCCCGGTTCCGGCCCCTGTCAGCCAGTTGACTTGTCACGGGGCTGGCTGACACGGTCCCCTGACCGGTCCTGCTCCCCCGAGAGATTAGGTCCCCGGC